TGCCAATAAACACCACAGTGACCTCCGAGTTGTGCCCTCGATGTTGCCCTCCGATTTGCACGGTCGGCTACGTACGGTGCGAACGAAGTTCAACAAGCATGCTTACAGTATACTCTTAGGTTTTTTCGGTAAAGTCACGTTGGTAAAAATAATAAAAATAATAGAAATAATACATGTATTATTTTGTTTCTGTTATTATTTCTATTATTTTATACATTTATTATTTTATTTCTATTATTATTATTATTATTTTTTATTATTATTTTTTTACCTAAGTGACTTTACAAAAAAAAAACGAATGAATCCTTGCAGTCACGAAAGCTTCAAATCTAGAATGCATACAGTATGTATGTAGTGTAATAGCGCCCTCTGTTGTCCAGCAACGGCAACTGCGGTGGACGAGGAGGACACACGCCGGTGAGCACTGACGCGGGTGTTTGTCGGCAGGGCGGAGGAACTGGGGCAAGGGTCACAGAGACCATGTCTGGAAGTCCCTGGAACCCGCTAGTGGGTTCGAGTAGGATAAAAGCAGCGGAGAGCGAGAGCTCGTGGCTGCTGGTTCTAGGAAGTGGACTCGTCTCGTCGTCACTGTCGTCTTCGCCGCCTTCGTCGCTGCCGTCTTCACGAGATAATTGCATGGCAGAATAGTTGTTGGCTGTCTCGGTCGATACGCCGACAGTGTAACACGGTCAGGGTTGTGTCTAGGGTAGGCTATTCGACTTGGGAGATGCGAGGGCGAACCTGAGAGTGTCAAATAAAGAAAGTGTCTCAATAATCCTGTTGACACGACACATACATCCCACCGTCTATCGGCGCTTAGGACTTAAAACCTATTGGGTAAGGCTACGTTGTTGTCACTAAGGTTACGAAAATTGTGAAGTTAAACAAATTCTAGATTTGAAGATTTCGTGACTGCAAGGATTTATACTCTTAGGTTTTTTCGGTAAAGTCACGTAGGTAAAAAAGAATACAATTAAAATAATAATAAACGAAAATAAATCTATTAAATCACGACGTTTCGGGGGCAGCACAAGCCTCCTTCATCAGGTATGCATGTTTTACACCTGATGAAGGAGGCCTGTATTGCCTCCGAAACGTGATTTAATTGATTTATTTTCATTTCTTATTATTTACATTTTATTATTATTTTTACCTACGTGACTTTACCGTAAAAACCTAAGAGTAAGTTCAACGAAGTCGGTGCACATTTGGAAAGAGCTGTGGAAATGTAGTCACTTGGGCGCTTCCTCTATTTCCTTTCAACAGCGTCGCAAGTAACCTGTATCGGTAGATGGAGGCATTGCCTCCACCGAATTATTCGCTGACTTTTACGCGAATATTTTTTTACGTTTATATTCTATTTCAGTAGGAGCCCGGCACAGAGCAAAAACCGCGATTACCTGCGAATTATTACTGCTTTTTTTCCGCGCACATGAACCGGGAATTTTGTTTAAAACGACCGTGCCAAAAACGTAGCCTTTCAGGCGGCTCCTCACTCGTGTGGGGGTCTCTCTAAAACCCAGAGATGTCTACGAACATCAGCAGGCGCATGATTACGGAATCGATCGCAACAGCGGGGAACTTTGCCGTTGCGTTGGACAGCAACCCACACGCATTGGACAACACCGATATTCGCCGTTCCACCGATGTTGTGAGAGCCTGTCTTGATGAGGCAGTTGCAAGAATTGGTGAATGCACATCACCACCTAGTGGCTTGCTCCAGGACTAAACAAATTATTTGGTGAAGCTACGTTGGCAGTGGTGTTGCACAAGCGATGTACAACAATAACAAAAAAACTCGACACGGTCGTCAATAACACCGTGGCATTAGAGGTAAAAATATATATAATAGGCGACGTTTCAAGCAATTACCCTTAATTGCATAGGGGACTGTTCCATGGGTTGTATGATTGTACAGTGCCGTACAGGACTTGTTTTTGGAAGCTGCAGTATTTGGAAATTCTTATCTCTGAGCCGCACCCGTCGCCTCACCCACACAGCCTCTGGCTTCTCACAAGCAGATAAAACTCAAAACATCAAACAGATGGCAGCGTTTCATAACACAGGACTCAATGCACTATTTAGCGTAAAGACGGTGAATGTGTCTGAATCTCAATAAATAAATAAACTCTAACTCAACACAAGTGCAATGTCCAATCCTTGTGAACTCTATCCCTCTGGACTCTTGGACTCTCTGTGCGTTACTAAGAAAGGCCACTGCCCGAAACGCTAGACAATTTTACTTTTAAGGCCACAGTTTTGAATAACGCTTAATATCAACACTCGTATAATGTACGTGCACATCACTTTATGATTCAGAATATGCATTTATACTGGAGGAATATGTATTCATACTGGAGGATTCAACTGCTGGATGAGCGCCTCCCCACGCCGCAGTGTCAAGTCCCGCTGGGCAGTTTGGCCAAACTTCACCAACCCCGGCCCAGAGTGGACGTTGGTTAAGGTGGAAGGTGGACCCAGGGAATGCTTCGGGAATCGCGCGCCACTGATGTGAGCCGTGTGCGAGAGTCCAATGAACGCGGTGTTCTTCATTGCAAGGCCCCGCGGGGCCACTGGCGGTCCCCTGGTGGCCCTTAGTGCGGCCCCTTACGTGCGGTTCCCACCTGATAATACACAAATGATCCGCATGGCGGTACCCCGGGGTTCCAAATAATACAAAATGGTCGAGGCAATTACATATTTTATTTCTGGGACACTATTTTTTCCAGGGATGTACTTCACTCCGTGACTGGGGTACCAATAAATTAGAAATCAGTGCTACTCCGCGATGTCGAAACGCAGCGAGGACGATTGAGCTGAAATCCTGAACGCTCGCGGTACGCACCGTAGGGGTGCATCGTAGCGCACAGCTCGTCCAGATGAGTCGATTGCCGCATCGCCGACCATCAACAGACTAAAAGTGACTGCATCACGGACATAATTTATGCGAGAGCCGGGGTACTATGGTAGCCCGGGGTACCGCCATAAGGTTCAAATTGTGACAACACCCCCATCATCATCATCATCGAACTGTCAAACGCGCAATGGTTTCAAATGGCGTGGCGGCCCTCAAACACCGACGATGTCTTATCGGCGTAAGTGCCCACCCCCCTCTGAAAATGAGTGAAGAACACTGAATCAATGTCTCAATTAATTCACAACCTCCCTCAACCCCCAACATGATCCTGCCATGTTGTGGGCTACGTACAAATGTAGCGTTTAACTTCGCCTCTCATAAATAGGCACGATGCACAGAGCATCCATTATGCGTCTTTTCGGTGTGCCGGTCACGTTGGGGGCGTTGACCATACTTCTTCACCAGGCCCGGTCAGTGCGGGTTAGTGAAGGGAAAACATTATGTCTCGCCTATCTATATATATGTACCACCGTGTGTTGAACGTCTTCCCCACAGTACGCAGGGCGACACAGCCTCTTGGATTCGCCCTGTCAGGGGGCACCCACCGAGGAGACGGAGCGATAATTAAATCAGCTCACGTGCAGGTGCCGGATGGATGATTGTGGTGGCAACTTGAGGAACCCTTCATCCAGCAGTCGATTGATCGTGGCTGACGACGAAACGTAACATGGTGAAATTTATATTGCAGTGTACACAAGCGCCGTGACCGCTTTTATCCGGCACTGGCACGAAGGGCCGTCGATATGAGAAGAACATAAATCTGGCCATTAGCCAGTCCAATACGGCGAATCGTGGCCCCGTAATTTATTCGTGGAAACAAATGTTTGGTGAATTCCCAATTTTTCTCACCACCGCGTTTCGACGAGGCTACACAGCCGCTCGACTCGCGCTTGCAAAACTTAACACGTCACCAACTTGCAACAATTTCACCATCGTGAGCCACGCTCTATCTAATGCTCGATGAAGGCATGCCCCTCTCGGCCCCGCGATGCCACACTTAAGCTATCTAATCTCACTCCTGCACGTGAATTTAACTCATCGTTGGAGTCGTGTCAGGCTATGCGTTCCCTCCTTTGGCTGACAGGCCGTCGTCACCAGTCTGACCCATCGGCCAGCCAACCCTTCCAGCGCTGTCTCCTGCCTATTAAGCCCACTTGATAGGGGGATGTTAACTACCTCGCCTGGTGTCCAGGCTGACGTGGGTTTGATCTCGGCCCTGACACCTGGATATTTTGAGTTTACGTGTCTCTCTCCCAGTGGTGGCGTAGATTGTTCACCAGTTTTCTCCCTCCACATTTGGAATCAACAACACGTGTTTAGAGAGCATTTGACTGCTATAAATTTCCACACGATGAGCCACTTCGTTGAGCTTTCAGTTTTGGCCGGGTCGCTTCTCAAAAAGAACTATACGGCTCAGTGGGCCTTACCTGGTAATATATTATAAAAAAACACTAATTTAGTTTTGTTTTAAAAAGAACAGATATTGCTCTTTCCCAAGCGCTGGTAGAAGGGACTGGCACTCGAGGCAGCTGCAGTGTTTGGTCCAATCTTCTGATAAACACGTGCTTGGGAGTCCCCACACTTTACCCCACTACACGCAAACACTGTGGACCCATTTACAGTGCACTGCTGCGTGGCAGTGTAAGAAAGCTGCGTCGTTGTTTAATTGTCATCGCTGGGAGATCGGAATTGAACCGGTGAGTTCTCTGCGCCTAACCTGAACACCGCTTGTATTAACAGTTCATAATGTATCACGATTTCAATGGGTTTTACCGTCCTCCAAGTTTCAAGTTGTCCGTATTCTTTACGCGCGCGTCCGGCTGCTTGCGTTCGTGAGCTCAAATCATCGACATTTTTATTAATCGACAGTTCTATTAATCGACATGTCGACGTTCGCGGCCACATCCTCCAATCGCCCGGGGTACTTGCAGATGTACGTATTTGAGGCTGAGTCGACTTAGACTAAGGCGCATGCCAGCCCAAGGGCGATGTCCCAACACGGCAGGCCAAATTGCCAAATCGTTTCCGTGAAGCGTATCTTGGCCCCTTCCTGATACAGAAGCCACTCGCTGACCACCTCCCACTCACACAAAGAACCACCACCACCACCACCCACCACCATCCATCTCCGAAGGGCTAACGAGCGGGTCGTCGAGTAAGCGTGAGTGTCTTGCGTGCGCGCACAATCACGACCAATCAATATTTCGAACCGGTGCTGGGCCTCCCCTAGGTCGACTCGGACTTAAATGAGTAAGTGTGCGATCCTGGTTACGGTTTAGTAGACATCAGCGTTGAGGAGACAAAGGCGGCCTGGCGTGGTGCTGGCAACACCCATCCCATTGTGTGCCCTGCCGGCCTTCATAGGCGCTCGCTAACCCTGTTGTTGTCCTGTTGTTGTTGTTGTTGTTTTGCATCGATTGCTTACTGGATTGGGCGGTGTGCCAGCCAAGGCATGGGACGGGTCTGATGGAACAGTGGTTCTCAACCGGGAGCAATGTCCCAGGTGGTACGTGAGGCGATGTATAAATGCCTCAAATTATATAATATACAATGGGTACCATTGGTGAATAATCGCGTATGAATCTGCCAATATGAAATAACGACGATAACATTTTGAATCCTTATGGTAACCTGGAAAGATGTAAAATAACTTTCTATAAACTCATTGATCGTCAACGATGTTGGGTTTTCCAAGAGCAACCAGCTTGCGCTAACCAATCACGGCACACATGCAGAGAGTCCGTTATTGATTATTATTTTTGGTAATTCGCTTGCAGCCACTCGCTAGTTAGGATACATCACAATATGTACAATTGGTTAAACCATAGATGTTCACGATTCGTGCGTTCATTTCTCAGAAACCATGTTGGGTCGAGCAAGGGAGTGCTCGTTTGAGACTAACTTCAACAAAGGGTGGTGTACAGTTGCCAAACAATGTTGAGAATCACTGCCTGAACATGTTTAGAACCACTGCCTGAGCATATAGACTGCAGTGGTGGGGGACGTTCGGTCCGTGGGCCGTATGAGGCCCGCGGATTCATTTGGTGTGGCCCTGCCAAGCGAACCGCAGGCGGGACTCGAAATTAAAAAAATCTAGGAGCAAACCTGGAAAAGCAGTTGCGAGTAGCAACATCATCAATACCAGCCAACATCACACGCCTCGCCAAAGAGAAGCAGTTCCAGCCATCACATTAAGGGGTGAGTTAATTAAACGTTTGACCAAATATAACAGGCTAATTTTTCAGTTGATAATTTTGTATGACCCGCGTAATGATGTTATAAATATCCAAATGGCCCTTGGCAGAAAAAAGGTTCCACACCCCTGATATAGAGCGTACTGTACTTGGAATTGAATTTGCACAGTGGCCAAAGGCGCAGCCCTGCAATAACTCGCTCACGCCACTGCTGTAGGAAGGACCTCGAGGAAGCTCAATGTCCAGAGGGTAAACTGGTGCGTGGAGAACGATTCGATGCACACGTCTTGTTGAGTGTAGTCACAGCGCGAGTGACCGGTCGGATAGTCGCTCATGGTTACGGTCATCATGAGTGATCGTACGTGCATGGGATAGGGTCAGTGAAGGGCTAACATCAGTGGCTGGATTACGAGTTAAGGTTAGGGTCAGCGAGAGGGCCACGGTCATTGGAAGGGCTGGTACTAGTTAGTGGTGGACTAGTTAGTCTGTGGGTCATTGGAAGGGTGAGTACTAGTTAGTGGTGGACTAGTTAGTCTGTGGGTCATTGGTAGGGCTGGTACTAGTTAGTGGTGGACTAGTTAGTCTGTGGGTCATTGGAAGGGTTAGTACTAGTTAGTGGTGAACTAGTTAGTCTGTGGGTCATTGGAAGGGCTAGTACTAGTTAGTGGTGGACTAGTTAGTCTGTGGGTCATTGGAAGGGCTAGTACTAGTTAGTGGTGGACTAGTTAGTCTGTGGGTCATTGGAAGGGCTGGTACTAGTTAGTGGTGGACTAGTTAGTCTGTGGGTCATTGGAAGGGCTGGTACTAGTTAGTGGTGGACTAGTTAGGATGTGAGTCATTGGTAGGGCTGGTACTAGTTAGTGGTGGACTAGTTAGGATGTGGGTCATGGTAGGGCTGGTACTAGTTAGTGGTGAACTAGTTAGTCTGTGGGTCATTGGAAGGGCTGGTACTGGTGACTGGTTGGTCAAGTTTTGGCCAAGTGTTTGCCTTTGATAGCTCGCCCCGTACGTGCCAATTCTGCGACGTTTAAAGACGCTGGGGGTTTTATCCACGTCCACAACACAGGCGGACTGAGAGGCCAGCGTCGTCGGCGGCGGCGTCTAGACGATGCGTGACCACCATCACCACACCGAGCGCGCTACGGCCACGTGGCCACTGACAAGGAAACTGCCCCCCCCACCCCGCAAAGGTCAAAAATGCAAGTCTCCTAGGATTATTCACTCGAATCACTCTGGCCACTCTTTCTCTCAACGCTATGAAGAAGGGTCATTGCCCGAAACGTCGCATATTTTCTGTTTTTGTTGCAATTTAGAGCAGTGGTGTTGTAGACGATTGCGTTGTTGATGGGTTTTGTGTCTTGATTCATTATTTTGTTGTGCAACACTGCCAGCGCAGCAGCGGTAGCAGCAGGAGCGTGAACCACGAACTATGTTTGTGTATAATTGTTTTTCACTCGTGGCGTGCCGCCACAACCACAAATCATTGGCCCCGATCATTTCGCTTTCACAAACGTACATACATGCACACATACGTACACAGACAAGTGCACACAGAATAAAGACCCCCCGTCGTATAGACATTAATGTACTGTTATCGGGCAATTGCTGTTAGCGAGCACCTATTTCTGCCAGCACGGCACACGCGGGGGTGGGTGACCGGAACCACGTCCGGCCCGGCCGCCTTTGTCTTCCCAGTTATGATGTTTAAACATCGCACAGGATACTCAATTAAGGTTGAGTTGACCTAGGGGAAGTCCCACAGCGGTTCAGATATTTGTCGCTGTTATACGAGGGTTGTTTCGGGTTTGCAGCGTGGTGCGTTAGCCCCTACCCTACCGCTCACGAACAAAGACACACACGTACACACGCGTGAACAGACACACACACCTACAGTAAGCGTACACACACGACAACAACTGCCATTCGCCACTAAGTAGCAGTGACGTCACCACGGCGCTTGTGCCAGGCCATGTGCACCTTGAGGCCACATGAAGTGTCGAACGCCCGCTGGCAGGAGGTCACGGGGCAGACCCAGGTGCCACGGGTCGACTGACTGAGATGACTGGCCGATGCACCACCTGTGCCCCCTACTGTGCTAACTTGTTGCTTTAACAACCCGGCGCTCCGCTCGTTGTTGTGAGCCTCGCTCCTCCGCCCTCCGTTGTTGTTGGAGGGCGACAGCCTCCAACTGCCCAGTAGCGTCCATCACGAGTCTCCTCCACAGAGGCCGATCTTTACACCGCTGGTACCACTCATCGGCAAGTCCACTCAGCTCCACATCCTCTTGTACCACACCACTCCATCTCTTCTCCAGCCCCCACACACACAGGCGTGCAGGGCGGGACACGTTTGCAGGCGACGGGTGCGGACGGACTTCGGTGATAAAGAGAAAGATAATGAACTTCAGACGAATTATCGAGAAAGGCCACACGCTCTCACATACTCTCACAAACACCAAAGACAACGAGCCCCCTTATAGCCTCAACAGACGCTTGGGACAAGTGTTGTTAGCCAGCACAGGTAAACAAGGGGGTGGGTGGCCAGCACCGCGCCAGACCGCCTTAGTCTACTGCACCAGGTTACTTATTTGAGGCTTAGTTGACCTAGGAGAGGCCCGGGACCGGTTCGGATAATCGTCACTGGCGTTGGCCGTGAGCGAGAATCGAACTCGGGTCGCCGGGTTCCTGGCGCAGCGCGATAACCGCTGAACAGCTGCTCCCCAAAGACAAAGATCATCTACTCACGTACTCATACAACACGGTCACACGCACGCGCACACACACCAGCTGTAGTGAGGGACTTTCACAGCTGAGAAGCTGTGCGCATGGATTCCGCACGCTGTAACTAACCCACACCCCACCACCACGACTACTACGGGAAGGCAATCGATCCGATCGTTTCATTTCTTATGCTTGCGGAATTCGCTCAGCAGCAAGGTAAGAATATCACGTTTTTGTCTGGCTATATACACACACACAGTATATATACTGACCAGCGTGTTGAGGTCTGGCCAAACAAGCTCTAGGACCGACATGGCATTGTGGAGACCTTCATTCAGCAGTGGACTGACCATGGGCTGTATATTCTAATAAAACTGAGTATTATTTAATAGTTGTCGACATAATAAACGAGGAGTGGCGCAGTCTTGAGCGCACCGCAACACGAACCCAATGGCCTGAGTTTGATTCGCGGTCATGGCTAACATCAGTGGCGATCGATATCTTGAATCGATCTTGCCCCCCCACCCCCCACAATCACCAATCCGCACTGACCAGCCTGGTGAAGTATGGTCCAATAATCCACACGTGGGCTGGGAGTACCTTTATCCAGCAGTGGGTTAGCAAAGCGCTGAAGCGTGATGCAGCGATGATAACATTATGTTGTTCACGTTATACGTGTACACGTGTGTGTGAGAAGTGAACGTCGTCAAAGCGTCATTGTTTTATGCACCAGTCGGTAAACCTTCAGCCCTGCAATTTCTTGCTTAGGGCCTCCACTTGAGCACACTCCAGAGACCTATATTGTATTTGGCCTACTCTTCCACGCTGGCCAGATGTTTTGGAAGAGGTGAGAGTAACCACGCTTGACCTCACCACACGCGAAATGCCCATCAATTCACTGTGGTCTACCCGTTGATTCAGCTGGTGGGTGGGTGGAAGAGGGGAAGGGATATTTAAGAAACTGATCATTGGACTGTCGCGCCGGGAGATCAAAACGCCAGAATCTCGCGGATATGAGAGGAAGGACTTCCCCTAGGCCTGTGGACCTCTCCACGCAAGCTGAGTAACATCACCTTGTGTCCGAGAAAGGCCCGTGGAAGATGACATTACAGAACTTGTACTGTGGTCCCTGCAGTTACCTATCATGCACACGAGAGGGCGGTGCACATTCTCGCACGCTATGCGATACAGGTGTTCGTCACGTGGCATTCAATCCGTCCTATGCTGAATTAAGTGAAAACAAATAATTTAATGAGATGGGTTGGTGTGCAGTCATTGATGACGACTGGGCTGAGACTCATCAGCTAACTAGATTGGAGAAGCTGATTTAATCACGAGTGGCTGAAACCCGGATTAAAACCAACGTCGCAACAGGCAATGTGGTGGTGATTGGAAACGGTGTGGCTGAGACGAAACAGTCAGACTGGTAAGCCGAGTCCTCAACACGGGTGGAGTTCATGACAACAGTAACCATGCTTACGATTGAAAGCTTTCGTGACTGCAGGGATTCACTTCTTGGTTTTTTCGGTAAAGTCACGTAGAAGGGAGATAATTAAAAAAGTAAAATATAAAAAGAATAGATATTTTTTCATATTTTTTTTATTTCCCTTCTACGTGACTTTACCGAAAGAACCAAGAATATAGTAACCATGATAGATAGATAGATAGATCGTTTATTGTCATTGTCACCAGTACAACGAAATTTAAAATGCTCACCAGTCAGGGCCTCATTCATAAATTTAAATTAAATAATACAAGAAAATAAAAATAAAATTAAATGAAAGATAATCAATTTATACTATATATAAAAACAGCCCAAGTATACCCACATACCCACATAAGGTTACATTTTGTCATTGCACATCTCTATTTCACAGTCAATTGTAAACGCTATTACTTAATAATTAATTAGCATTATTGAGTGTGGTGATCGCTGTAGGATAAAAGCTCTGTTTGAATCTGTTTGTCCTTGTTTTGACTGATCTGAATCGTCTGCCTGATGGCAACAGCTCAAACAGTGAGTGTCCAGGGTGAGAAGAGTCCTTTATAATGTTCTGTGCTTTTTTGATGCAACGTGATGTTAACATGCAAGCAGTACACATACATACACAGAGGCCCCTCTCTCTGCGAACTAGCGCCGTCTACCTCCCCCCCCCCCCCCCCATTTCTCGCTGTGCAGGGGTCAAGATGTGGGACTGCGTCCCTGACCCGTGGCACGAGGAGGCCCTGGGCAATGCGTGCACTCTGGCCACACGCGACTTCACTCTGATGCGCAGCGGGCGACTCCTCCGCGAGGCGTCGTGCGGCTGGGACCACCGTCAGGGCGAGGTCGTCCTCGCCACCATCTGCTCCATCTTCCTGGCCACGCTGGTGCCTCTCGCGCTGCTCCTCAATCTCGGCGTGGCCGCCGTGAACCTGTGCGGTGGACACCGCGCTCTCGCCGCCATCAGCGGAGGCGCCTCTCCTCCTCCACCTCCTCATCCTCGGAGCGCCGCGGCTCGCCAACCGTCCGCGGTGGACGTGTACGTGACGAGCGCCGCGCTGGCCAACGCCCTGCAGCTGAGCGTGGCTCTGGCGCACCTCACGGGGCTGACGCACGACGCGACGGACGCAACGGACGGGTCTGCCGAGCGCGACCCGCGCGGCGCGTACGGCTGCGCCGCGGCCTACGTCCTCTTCCACGTGTCGGCGCTGGCGAGCGCCTACTCGGTGACCCTGCTCGCCTTCGACGCGTACCTGGAGGCGGCGCTGCCCGCGGGCTCGCGCCCGCCGCTCGTGGACGCGCGCAGCGCCCCGCACGTGTGCGCCTTCCTGTGGGGCGGCTCGTGCCTGGCCGCGTTCCCCGCCGCGCTGCAGATCGGCTGCTCGCGGCGCGGGCACCTCGACTGCGTGGCGCTCGGCGTGCGCGAGCTCGCCGACGTCTCGCTCGTCGTCACGGGCTTCGTCGTGCCGGTCGCGGGCTCGTGCGTGAGCGCGTGGTGCGCCGCGCGTCTGCTGTCACGCGGCGGCGGTGGCGTTGACGAGGACGACGCCGCCGAGCGGGAAGCGCAGAGAGGTGCGCTGCGCATGGCGCTCGTGGCGGTGCCCGTCCACTTCTCGCTGTGGGCCCCGTTCTACGCGACCGTCGGGGCCGGCGTGTTCGCCGCCGTGAGGAGGAGGCCCTCGTTCCGCCTGGTCAAGGCGCTGGCACAGATGCTCGCATACGCGCCCCCGTGCGTGGCGCCGTGCGTGTACGCGCGCATGTGCCGTGGAGTGGCGGAGCGTGCGAGGCTCGTGGGGGCCGCGCTCGGGTCGCGGTGCGGGAGGCGACGCTACAGTCGGCACTCGTCGCTGGCCCTGACAGAAGCCGTGTAGGTGCGGGCGCGTGTGTGTTTGTGTGTTTGTATGTACGTGTGTGTATTTGGCACCTGGGTCTACCCCGTGACCTGCCAACGGGCATTCGACACTTTTCGTGGCCTCAACGTGCACATAGCCTGGCACAAGCGCCGTGGTGACGTCACCCGCCACTTAGTGGCGAACGGCGATTGTTGTTGTTGTGTGTGTTGGTATGTACGCGTGTGCGTGTGTTTGTGTGTTTGTGTGTTTGTATGTACGTGTGTGTATTTGGCACCTGGGTCTACCCCGTGACCTGCCAACGGGCATTCGACACTTTTCGTAGCCTCAACGTGCACATAGCCTGGCACAAGCGCCGTGGTGACGTCACCCGCCACTTAGTGGCGAACGGCGATTGTTGTTGTTGTGTGTGTTGGTATGTACGCGTGTGTGTGTGTTTGTGTGTTTGTGTGTTTGTATGTACGTGTGTGTATTTGGCACCTGGGTCTACCCCGTGACCTGCCAACGGGCATTCGACACTTTTCGTAGCCTCAACGTGCACATAGCCTGGCACAAGCGCCGTGGTGACGTCACCCGCCACTTAGTGGCGAACGGCGATTGTTGTTGTTGTGTGTGTTGGTATGTACGCGTGTGTGTGTGTTTGTGTGTTTGTGTGTTTGTATGTACGTGTGTGTATTTGGCACCTGGGTCTACCCCGTGACCTGCCAACGGGCATTCGACACTTTTCGTAGCCTCAACGTGCACATAGCCTGGCACAAGCGCCGTGGTGACGTCACCCGCCACTTAGTGGCGAACGGCGATTGTTGTTGTTGTGTGTGTTGGTATGTACGCGTGTGTGTGTGTTTGTGTGTTTGTGTGTTTGTATGTACGTGTGTGTATTTGGCACCTGGGTCTACCCCGTGACCTGCCAACGGGCATTCGACACTTTTCGTAGCCTCAACGTGCACATAGCCTGGCACAAGCGCCGTGGTGACGTCACCCGCCACTTAGTGGCGAACGGCGATTGTTGTTGTTGTGTGTGTTGGTATGTACGCGTGTGTGTGTGTTTGTGTGTTTGTGTGTTTGTATGTACGTGTGTGTATTTGGCACCTGGGTCTACCCCGTGACCTGCCAACGGGCATTCGACACTTTTCGTAGCCTCAACGTGCACATAGCCTGGCACAAGCGCCGTGGTGACGTCACCCGCCACTTAGTGGCGAACGGCGATTGTTGTTGTTGTGTGTGTTGGTATGTACGCGTGTGTGTGTGTTTGTGTGTTTGTGTGTTTGTATGTACGTGTGTGTATTTGGCACCTGGGTCTACCCCGTGACCTGCCAACGGGCATTCGACACTTTTCGTAGCCTCAACGTGCACATAGCCTGGCACAAGCGCCGTGGTGACGTCACCCGCCACTTAGTGGCGAACGGCGATTGTTGTTGTTGTGTGTGTTGGTATGTACGCGTGTGTGTGTGTTTGTGTGTTTGTGTGTTTGTATGTACGTGTGTGTATTTGGCACCTGGGTCTACCCCGTGACCTGCCAACGGGCATTCGACACTTTTCGTAGCCTCAACGTGCACATAGCCTGGCACAAGCGCCGTGGTGACGTCACCCGCCACTTAGTGGCGAACGGCGATTGTTGTTGTTGTGTGTGTTGGTATGTACGCGTGTGTGTGTGTTTGTGTGTTTGTGTGTTTGTATGTACGTGTGTGTATTTGGCACCTGGGTCTACCCCGTGACCTGCCAACGGGCATTCGACACTTTTCGTAGCCTCAACGTGCACATAGCCTGGCACAAGCGCCGTGGTGACGTCACCCGCCACTTAGTGGCGAACGGCGATTGTTGTTGTTGTGTGTGTTGGTATGTACGCGTGTGTGTGTGTTTGTGTGTTTGTGTGTTTGTATGTACGTGTGTGTATTTGGCACCTGGGTCTACCCCGTGACCTGCCAACGGGCATTCGACACTTTTCGTAGCCTCAACGTGCACATAGCCTGGCACAAGCGCCGTGGTGACGTCACCCGCCACTTAGTGGCGAACGGCGATTGTTGTTGTTGTGTGTGTTGGTATGTACGCGTGTGTGTGTGTTTGTGTGTTTGTGTGTTTGTATGTACGTGTGTGTATTTGGCACCTGGGTCTACCCCGTGACCTGCCAACGGGCATTCGACACTTTTCGTAGCCTCAACGTGCACATAGCCTGGCACAAGCGCCGTGGTGACGTCACCCGCCACTTAGTGGCGAACGGCGATTGTTGTTGTTGTGTGTGTTGGTATGTACGCGTGTGTGTGTGTTTGTGTGTTTGTGTGTTTGTATGTACGTGTGTGTATTTGGCACCTGGGTCTACCCCGTGACCTGCCAACGGGCATTCGACACTTTTCGTAGCCTCAACGTGCACATAGCCTGGCACAAGCGCCGTGGTGACGTCACCCGCCACTTAGTGGCGAACGGCGATTGTTGTTGTTGTGTGTGTTGGTATGTACGCGTGTGTGTGTGTTTGTGTGTTTGTGTGTTTGTATGTACGTGTGTGTATTTGGCACCTGGGTCTACCCCGTGACCTGCCAACGGGCATTCGACACTTTTCGTAGCCTCAACGTGCACATAGCCTGGCACAAGCGCCGTGGTGACGTCACCCGCCACTTAGTGGCGAACGGCGATTGTTGTTGTTGTGTGTGTTGGTATGTACGCGTGTGTGTGTGTTTGTGTGTTTGTGTGTTTGTATGTACGTGTGTGTATTTGGCACCTGGGTCTACCCCGTGACCTGCCAACGGGCATTCGACACTTTTCGTAGCCTCAACGTGCACATAGCCTGGCACAAGCGCCGTGGTGACGTCACCCGCCACTTAGTGGCGAACGGCGATTGTTGTTGTTGTGTGTGTTGGTATGTACGCGTGTGCGTGTGTTTGTGTGTTTGTGTGTTTGTATGTACGTGTGTGTATTTGGCACCTGGGTCTACCCCGTGACCTGCCAACGGGCATTCGACACTTTTCGTAGCCTCAACGTGCACATAGCCTGGCACAAGCGCCGTGGTGACGTCACCCGCCACTTAGTGGCGAACGGCGATTGTTGTTGTTGTGTGTGTTGGTATGTACGCGTGTGTGTGTGTTCTGTGAGCGAGCGAAGCGCTGGGCAGCTAAAATGCAGCGAGTTGGCACAAGGCTGGTCATCTCAGTCAGTCGACCCATGGCACATGGGTCTGTCTCGTGACCACCTGCTTAGCAGGAAGCCTTGCCCACTGCACGTGGCCTCAAAGTGCACCTAGGCTGGTGATGTCACCGCCACTTGGTGGCAAATAGCGGCTGTTATTGTTGTGTGTCTACGCTTGTACCGGTGTGTGTGGCGTTGTGGCGACCGCACTGTGCTAAGATCCCTGTTACCCGAGTTCTATTCCAGGCCACGTCTGAAAGTGGCATGTGTTATCACAAAAAAGGGTGGGGACCATCCCTAGGTTGACCCAGCCATGAACGATTAACAATCGGGCGTGGCTGTGGCCACACCATCCTCTCGTGCGCCGTGATGACCTGCATAAGGGGTCTACAATAGCACTTGGCACAATAATCTGCGAAGGCCTCCGTGGGGGTTCTTTGTCTATTTGTGCGGCCGCTACAGGTGGATCGCTGCTTCGCATGATCGTGGGAGGCAGCGGTGAGTCATGGAGGTCTTCATCAATGGATTGACCACGGCTGATGATACATCCTGAGATTGCCTCGTGACCTCCCACCAGTGAGCCTTTGACACTTGACGTAGCTGCAAAGTGCACTTAGCTTTGACACAAGCGCTGTGGTGATGTCACCGTCATTTAGCGTCTGTCAATAGTTGTTGTAGAGGTGTGCGCATCTCTGTACGCGTGCGCAGGGTCCGACTGTGGCGCAGTGGGAAACACAATGATGCTCGTGACTTTATTTTTCTTCCCGGCCACGGTGCGATTGTTACGTCTGGATACAACCACGAACATTCCCGTCGCTGCGCTGTAACGCAATGCAAATTTCAGAGGGTTGACAATGTACGTCGTTAAGTTATTGAATTAGTTCTGCTTCTGTGATCTTTATTAAACAATTGCTGAAAACCCCACAGGGAGGGATCCGTCTCATTCCTCCACGTTTGTTGATCAAGTGAAGTAACGACAATGACGACTACTACTTTAATTTCAGCAGCTTTTGCTTCTGCATTAATGATTCATACTATTTATTTAATGTTTCGCTTTAGACCGTTAAGTGGACACCACGTAAGAACCGCTGACGTACGATAGACAACAAAACCTAGTCCAGAGTTGATCTCGAGAGAACTAAAATAAGCAATTATTATTACTTTTACTTTCTTACCCTGGGGAAGAAAAGCCAACCTGGTTGGTCGTGTTAGCCATAACAGAGGTTTTTTGGTTAAATGTGAATGTGTCATTAAACCCGCCACCACCCGACACAGCCAATTAGTAAGGTTTGTCACGTAAACAGAACGTGCCAATTCGTTACAAGTACAGTACACCGGTGTGTTTGTGTACTGTGCTAGTTTACGTAACAAACCTTACTAATTGGCTGTGTCGGGTGTCGTCGGGTTTAACGACACACTTTTATTTACGCGATGTTACCCAAACACCTCTATTATGAATAATATTGCTAGCGAAAGCCTACGTGTTAAACTGATTGTATTATGTTTATTTGGTTTTATTTTGGCACAGGTGAAACCAGTTGGGCAATAAATCCCCATTTTCGATTGGGACCTGATTACTCCGATAAGCACGGTTGGCTACGTACGGTGCGAAAAAAACGTATACATTCTGTGCAAAACAAATGCATAAACAAAAAAAACGGTGTGCCCGGTTAAATAAGGTCGTGCATCAACGTGGCACACGTTATAAGGCTAACAACGCATCACACACACAACAACAACACACCTCCAGGAGAACCCGGAGGGAACCCCATTGAGAACAACAGGAGAACACACGAACTCCACAGGCAAGCAATGCCTAAATCGGTCAAACAAACGAGGGGTTCTCCTTGATGTGAGGCTGCAAGTGCTATTACTGCGCCACCACCGTGCCGCCCGGATCGCACGGCGAGACGAAGCCGCTACGACACAGGGATCAACTTTGCCAGCAGTGGGACGTTGCAGGCTACGATGTGGGCAGCAGGAGGCAGAGCGGCAACATCCACACTTCATCCACAGCAACATCCGCAGTGCTGTGAATTTTGCTGTGGTTGAATTATGGTCAGAATTTCCCCACGATGCGCACGGCGCAGCAGTGGATTGACAAGAGGGCGGATCGCGTGAAAGTCGAGTCTGTATCTCGACTGCAAGCGCAGCCCGTTGCGCAACTGCTGGCAACCGGTTTTCAGAGGCGGTCCGCGCGTTGCGTGCGATTCACGACTCGTTGCGCAACAGATGGCTCAGGCGTTAACCCGGCTTCACACCGATTGCATTCGCTCATGTGGTTACCAATGGGCTACACCGACTATTCACATCACTCATTTAGCACGTGTCAGATTTGGCGAGCAATAAAATGCGTAATAGATTTTTTATTTTTTTGTCAGAGCACGTAAGTAAAAATGTGTGTCGCAAACCCTTCTCCACCCGGCACAGCCGATTGATAACATTGTCAACAAACGCGCCAATGTATTACCGCGTCGGGCGTTGGAGAGCAATCCACACACATGTTACAACTGGGGTACAACATTTAACACTTCAGTCAGGAGTACCCAATGGGAGTTATAGCAACCAACCACCGCCCCCTCCTGCAAAATCTTAGCAGGAGCCTCAGTGAGGCCCTTTCCTGAGTAAACCAGCGTGATCAGTGCAGAGATTCGGCCAACAGGGGGCGATGTTTAGCCTCGGTCGCAATGCTAAGCGCAATAAAGTCCATGGGCCCAGAGTATTAATGCATTTAGGGGCCGTCCATAAATGACGTCACGCACCTAGAGGGGGGGAGGTGTCAGACATTTGTGACGATATGTGACGAGGGGGGGGGGGTTGAGAAATGTGACGTCACATAAAAACGCGCAACTTTAAATAAATATAGACAACAAGTTCTACTTAATTAAATAGACTTGTTGATAAATGTTTTCTCCAACAACATCAGAGTACAGCGGCACATTAAATACACACTACAATGACAATAGTTTAAAGCGAGTTGAAGCATTTTTTTTTGGGGGGGGCAGAGCTTTGTGACGTCATATTTGAGGGGGGGTCTGACTTTTTGTGATGCCGTGTGACGAGGGGAGGTCAAAAATCGTCAAAAATCGCGTGACGTCATTTATGGACGTCCCCTTATGTGTAGATGTGTAATTTCTTTCGCACCGTACGTAGCCAACCGTGTTAATCGGAGGCGCGGGTATATACTTGATACCGCTTTAGGTGCACCGATGTCTCGATGTATATGGCCAATGAGAGCGAGTTACTGGACTTGATTACCACCCACTCGTTTTAAATTATGATCACATTATACTCTGGTATTGGCCACAGCGAGATATTCGAACGTGGTACCGTCTACGGCAGGGATCGGTAACCAAAATAACATAGCGAGCAATTTTTTTTTTTTACAAATTCTGTATTTAAAAAAAAACTCAGTATTTCAAGAGCCGCAATGCACGCGAATAACGCCAAGAAGTAGCCCTCATAGAGCTGCATGCGGCTCCGCAGGCTTGCCAGCCCCTGGGTCTCGGCTCATGGACAGTTTGCGCGTGCTGCGACATCATCGTTCAAGGTACGATATCAAATTTCACAATATGATGATGATGATCGCGATATCAGTTTATCTATTTTCCTAGTACAAAATTACCATTATCATCACGGGGGGAGAATATAAGTAGTGAAACAGATAAGCGGAATATCTACATATATTTCGATTTAAAGCTTTCGTGACTGCAGGGATTCATCTTGGTTCTTTTGGTAAAGTCACGTAGAAGGGAAATAATAAAATAATAAAAATAAAACATAAAATACAATTCTCACGACGTTGTGGCCGAAACGTCGTGAGAATTGTATTTTACTGGTAGGAACGAAGTGAACCAGCCTACAATAGATTATATCGTCCGTCCGTCCGTCCGTATAGCAACATCGCCCCCTACTGAAAACACTTGGCAGGACCCTACAAAAACCTTTAGACTCAGTGAGGCTTTCCTGGCTAAACAAGTCTAATAATACATTATGTTTATATTCTTTGGTTATTCGTTCCTAACAGCCCACCCCGCAGGGTCCTGTTATTATGTTTTATTTTTATTATTTATTTTTTTCCCTTCTACGTGACTTTACCGAAAGAACCAAGACAATCTTCATATATATATATCTGTTCCTCCACATTCCAAAATAAAATAATTGTATTCACTTCCCATCAACCACATGGCCTTCTGCGAGTGAATACTTTCAGCTGCATTGATTGAGTACAAGCAACATTCTTGCACCGGTTTCGACAATCATTGTCTCATCAGCAGATTCAGGCTCGCTTTGAACCAACGTTGACCAAATGCCCGATGTAATAGGCAGGGAGGGACAGATGCGTGCAGGAGGAATTGTATACTGCGGTTCGCTCAACGGAGTCTGAAAAGTCCTTATAATGCAATAAAATCAATGCATGTCCGATGATCGTTGTGACGTCATAAAGCCCATGCCGTCAAACGCTGGATTCCGAAATGCGTTTTACGAAGCACTCAATTTCGTAGACAACAGCGAAATATTCCATCCACAACTTTAAAGATATCGACTTTGTTATTGCATTTTGTCAGAAAATTTAATAAAATCTGAAATAAAGAAAAACACATTGCCAACTGTAATCGCGGTATAAGTATACTTTTGGAATCCGCGGACTATGCGACATACGATACGATATCATACGACAGATGTGTCGAGGTGTCGCCATATCGTGGCGACCCTGAGAGCATTGTGGGAGCAACAACGCATCGATTCATCAAAAGACATCGATTCTCAAGCGACAAAACAACTTCATCATTGCCATCAGCCAAGTCGACCTTCATCCACTGCTGGATGAAGGTCGACCCGACGCCACCTTCACCCCCCTGCCCTGCGATGCCGCAGTGCGATGCCGCAGTGCACTTTTTTTCTCTCTCTCTCTCCAGCGTAAAAGCTCTTTGTATTGCTCCATCTCATCAGCAGTCGTCCTCGAAGACGCATTATCTCCCCTGCCATTCGGTCGCCGGTTTCATCCATCGACCATCATCATTACTTCCTTGCACCACTATTGCCAGTATGTCAAAATATACAATTAGGTTTTACCCTTTCTGGCACCCCGAGCTCTCGATGTCCTGATAATGCATTGGCTTTGTGCTGTTCGCCTTTTGGCGTCCTCTGGTCTAACACTGTTTGAGACTAAGCTCTTGAGAAAGCTGTCTCTGGTGTGGACCAATCAGTTTCAAAGACAATGCATATAATATCAGAGCATGTTTTGTTTGCATGTTCACCACAAGTATCTGTTGTTAATGCAGACATGATTCCTTGCAAAATGTTTCAGTTTGGTTTTTAACATCTTAACACCTGTTTTATTGCCAGAAAGGGTTGGATTATATTATTATATCATTACTTCCCTCCGTGCACTCTCTTACCTCTCCCCTCTGATTTCACTGTACTCCCCTCCACGCACTCTCCTACCTCTTATCTCGCTCTACTCCCCTCCACGCACTCTACCTCTCCCCTCTCATCTCACCCTACTCCCCTCCACGCACTCTCCTACCTCTCATCTCGCTCTACTCCCCTCCACGCACTCTCCTACCTCTCATCTCGCTCTACCCCACTCCACGCACTCTCCTAACTCTCATCTCGCTCTACTCCCCTCCACGCACTCTCATACCTCTCATCTCACCCTACTGCCCCTCCACGCACTCTCCTACCTCTCATCTCGCTCTACTCCCCTCCACGCACTCTCCTACCTCTCATCTCGCTCTACTCCCCTCCACGCACTCTTCTACCTCTCTCTTCTCACTCGACTCTCTCCCACACACTCTCCAATGCAGCACGCCAACCGTTGCTCAGAGGGAGGTCACTCATTCTCCCCTGATATCCCCCATAACCAGGAACTTCCGTCCCTCCGCAATCTGTGCTATCGATGCAATGCCCTTGTTCAAGTTCATCTTGCAAAACACCCTCCTCGCGTTCGCCCTGCGTGTGCCTGAGACTGCCTCTTTCTGACTCATGCATAAATATGCGCTCTCCTTTCCTTACAGCTTCGCGAGATGCAGTCGTATTCGGACGCCACGTGAATCCGAATTTTAAATAATTTCATTGCTCTCACTTTCTCTGCACTGCTCGACTTTATTTTTCACCAACGTCGCTATCTATAACCTCGCTCAACGCAATGACGCAGCTGGCCCTTATCCGCTGCTCCCTATCGCCCGTGCACACAGAGTTTGCCGGCCGAATTTTCGTCGCGGAATTTTTGGCCTGTGCCTCGCCAATTCGATGCGTAACAACAACCAAAAAAATATAATTCAATAGCGTCATCATCGTCGTCGTCACCGCCATCGCCACCATCATATCGTCAACACAATCGCACTGTCAGCGCCATATCTCCGCTCAACACGTGTTCCGCGTGGGCCCGTCAACTCGCGCCCACATTCATCGTCACACATGCTGTACTTACACAAAGCCGATTCGTGTATTCACCGTTGCAGATGTTTTATCAGCCTAGCAGTGGATAGAAAATATCTGTAAACACACGCAATCATCTTCATCATTGTGAGCAGCCAGGAACAGCTATTCATAATCAACGTTTTTGGGTTTAGATCGCCAATCAGTAAAAAAATAACGCGATCTAAACCCAAAAACGTTGAAAATGAATAATATTGGTCGCGAAAGCCTACGTGTTAAAAGGAGCAGCTATCCACTGCTAGATGAGAGGCACCCCCCCCCCCCAAGACTCTCCCATGTCTCACGGTCCCAGGATGGAATAATCCACCCAGCACTGACGACACACGAGCTGATTACATCGCTCCATCTCCGCGGTGGGCAGGATGACGTGGCCCCGTTCGGTAAAGCAGCAAGGCCCTCAGTCGTGAGGCCTGAGTTCACGTCCTTGCCACGATGGACTCAGTAACATCATCATCATCGCCATCAACCATCATCACCATTCCTCCGACATCGGTAACATGAGCACCGTCTGGCAAATAACGACGTCGCTTACTCAAGAAAGCCTCACTGAGGCTCAAGATTATTTTTTTATTCAAGATGATCTTGCCACATTGGGATGTTAGACCAATTCCTTTAATGAGAGGTTTTATTTTAATTCTGTGTCGTATGAAGGTACAGTTGCCTGATACATCCTGCCACGCATGTTAAGGGAAAACACTAAAAGTTCTGCACACATGGATTCAGTAATTCGTTGCTGTACTGTACTGCTACGTTCTGGCCTCTGTGCTACCCAGAAGGTTGAGAATTTTACAAATCTTTTCGTGATCCACCAATCCTTGCGTCGACGCCCAGATAGAGGAGCCTGCTCCGTCTAGCACGCACGATTCATCAGTAGGTGCCCTGTGAATAGGTCTCCACTGGCTCCCGTCATAGTAACGTGGAATTGCATGCAGATGTAGAATTACGTGCAGGCGTGAGCGCCATGCACTCCGACAACTGAGCCGCACAATCCAAGAAACAGAGGGAGGTGCAGCTGGGAATTACACTGAGTGACGGGAAGAGGAACACGCGAATTAGAGAACAGGCCCATATCAGTTTGACTGTCGAGGAAAGCCAGCGATTCATTGTCTTGGTTCTTTCGGTAAAGTCACGTAAAAGGAAAATAATAAAATAATCAAAATAAAACATAATAATATATTTTATTATGTTCATTATGTTTTATTTTTATTGTTTTATTATTTCACTTCTACGTGACTTTACCGAAAGAACCAAGAAGATGAATCCCTGCAGTCATGAAAGCTTTAAATCGAAAGCCAGCGGGTTCGGGCAGAACACCGCATGGCTGTGTGTAGATGTTAAACTTCGTTCGCACCGTACGTAGCCAACCGTGCCCATCAGAGGTGCGGGAAACAGCATCAGGGCGCGAACGACGCGTGAGAGAGGACGTTCCACGCTGAGATGGAGCGTTGAAACAATGAGCTCGCGTTCACCAGCGAGATGGATTGCTGTATCGCGACACCGTGGGGCGTGGTGGGGGGCAACGGCTTGGAGTGGCCTGCATCGAACAGTGGATAGAGCTAAGCTAATATTTATACAGCACTGATGCCAATACCATCGATACTGAGTGGCTCGTGCCAATTCGAATGTTTGACATATGCTGATTGTGCGTTGACAGTGGTGCACAAGCACAATTATTAAAAAACTGAACGCATTAGTCAATAATTATTGCCTTAAAAAGAAAAATTATATAATAGGTGATGTTTTGGGAAATGGCCCTTCTTCAGAGCACAACATAACTAATTTGGGTGCACATGTGAAGAGCTACAATTGTATGTGCAATGAAAAAAATGGGTCATTGCCCAAAACGTCGCCTATTGTATATGTTGTTGTTGTATTTTAAGGCAGTGTTGTTGTTCCAGTCGGGCTTGGAAGCTGAAATTTGTCCGGCAGTCGAATGCATATTTTCCATACAACCTGAACAATCCGATGAACAAAATAATCGATTCCGTATCCACAGTAATTACCACTGGGAGGCTGATTGGGTTCAGTCGTAGGGCAGCCAGGGTCAGCATATAGCTCTGCGTTTGCTTCTAATTCTCTCGCTGAACACAAAACAAAACGCACGACGATCTCTGTCATCGCTCAAGCGAGTAAATCGCCTCTCGTGGAGGGTGACGCTATCGCAAAGGGAAACGGATGACGTCCGCTACCAGCCACTGGTACAATTCAACCGTCGGATTTTGGACGGCGTAATATATCTTGTCCCGGATATAACGGGGCTTTGGGGGATAGCGACATCGCTGAAAAACATTGAAAACGCAATTTAAATGTATCACACCAAACGCAAATTAATTGAGCTGTGTCTCCACGCTGCACAGAGATGTGAGAGGCCAGGTATTGCCGGTTTAGTCCTGTACTCTACACTAACTGCGCACTTAACTATTTAAGCTAAACTAAACTATAAAATACGTTTTTTTTATTTTACCAGGTAAGGCCCACTGAGCGACACAGCTCTTTTTCAGAAGCGATCTGGCCACAAGTGATAGCCCAACGAATTGGCTCATCACGTGGAAATGTACAGCAGCCAAATGCTCTCAGCGCATGTGACCACGCACGGGGAGAACATTCAAACTCCAAATATACAACAGGCGGCAGGGTCGGCATCGAACCCACGGCCTCCTGTATATTAGGCGAGGTAGTTAACATCTCACCACCATGAACCACATTGCTCGTTCTGGAATTTCCTTGTACGTTTCTGTGATTTGAACGGTGTTTTTTCATATTTTTTTTTTAATATCGCATTTAAATAAATATATATTTCACAACATAACAAAACAATTACCACGCAACAATACGATCTGTAAATGGCCATTTTTTTTACAATTGAAATAACGTAACAAAAAAAATGCGCATAAATATCCCGGAGCACCCTGGTTCATCTCGTTATTTCGAGGACACACTGGAAATGGTTACACCGGCGGTGAGTGAGTTGACGATTTAAAACTCATTTCATTAGAACAGTTTTTTTTTCCGTCTAGTTTATTGTCGCACCCCCCCCCCCCCCGCGCCTCCGATTAGCACGGTTGGCCTACATTACCGTGCGAAATAAGTTCAGCGAAACAAACATTACATGCGGGGTCCGTATGGGCACGCGTGCGCGCAAGCTGTCGCGTTGACATGGTCGAGCCTCGCGCGGAGTCGACCGCGCGTGCTTCCGTCTCCCCGCGGCGAGGAAACCACGAGGGAGACCACGGGCTCGCGTGGGGCGCGAGATAAAGTCAGCCGTGCTGCCTACGCACACACACACACGCGTAACAAAGACACAGTTCCCCCGAATAGCCCACACATCGGCTGTCGGGGCAAGTGCTGTTAGCGAGCAGCTAAAGAAAGGCCGTAACGGCACACGATTTGATGGCGTGGATAACACCACGCCCGGCCACCTTTCTCTCCCCAATTCTGATGTTGACGGTGTTGGCCGTGAGCGGAAATTGAACTTGGGTGGCCGCGTTCATAACGCAGAGTGGCTCACCACGACACCACCGTTCCCCACTCACATGCAGCGTTATAGCCTGCACACACACGCGAACACACACACAGCCACACAGCCTACACATGCATGCATGAATACGCACAGACGCACACAGGAACACACACACACACACACGTGGACGCGTACACACATACACTCACGGGGAGACGCACACACTGTAAAGACTCATAACGCTGATGCGAGTGTGGACACCCATAACGCGTGAGTCTCGGGACCTCTCTACGTGATAGTTGTCACACGGAGACTCCCTGTTGACAGCTACATAGGTGCGATGTCTAATTCACTATTTGTGTCCGTGTGTATATGTGCGTGTGTGTGTGTATTTAAGCGGTATGTGGGGGAGCGGTAGTGTAGCGGTTCGCGCGCCACGCTACGAACCCGGCTACCCTCGTGCGATTCCCGCTCACGGCCAATAACAGTGGCGGTTCTGGGCCTACCTTAGGTCGACTCGGCCTTAAATGAGTACCTGGTGTTTAAATATCAGCACTGGGGTGACAAAGGCGGACGGGCGTGGTTCTGGCCACACCAGCAGCAATTGCTTGTCTCCTCGTCTGTTGAAAGCTATACGGGGGATCTTTGTATGCGTAATTGAATTACGGTAGTCAGTTAACTCGTACGTTGTGCCGTGATAGTAATATTCCCGGTGTGTTCTACGTATTGCTGTCATAATTGACGCCTCGCGTAAGCCAGGCAAGGTCACTTGTTGATGGGATCGAATCATCGATACGCCCTGGCTGCTGAATATACCACGCTCTCATCATCGGTGCCACGCTCATGATGAGGCTCGTGAGGTTGAAACCGGTGTGTACTTGGGGGTGGCCGGGGTTGGTGCAGTTAATGCTGACGTGCCTGGGAACATCACGTATAAAACAATGATCCAGAAGCACCCATATACACATAGGCCGATGGGAGTGAGTGTCCCTTTATTTAACCATGCTTGTTTATGATTGGAATTGTGATGCCCGACTGTAACGGGTATCGTACTGGAAGTCGCCGGTTCGATTCGATAAGTCTGTCCCACCCAGCAGTACACAGGGAAGAACCGGTTAGTCGATTTGCATGTCGTATGTGGTGGGGTAAACTGTGGTTACCCTCCCTGGGTGGTGGGGTAAACTGTGGTTACCCTCCCTGTGTGGTGGGTAAACTGTGGTTACCCTCCCTGTGTGGTAGGGTAAACTGTTACCCTCCCTGTGTGGTGGGGTAAACTGCGGGTACCCTCCCTGTGTGGTGGGGTAAACTGTGGTTACCCTCCCTGTGTGGTGGGGTAAACTGTGGGTACCCTCCCTGTGTGGTGGGGTAAACTGTGGTTACCCTCCCTGTGTGGTGGGGTAAACTGTGGTTACCCTCCCTGGGTGGTGAGGTAAACTGTGGTTACCCTCCCTGTGGGGTGGGGTAAACTGTGGTTACCCTCCCTGTGTGGTGGGGTAAACTGTGATTACCCTCCCTGTGTGGTGGGGTAAACTCTGGTTACCCTCCCTGTGTGGTGGGGTAAACTGTGGTTACCCTCTCTGTGTGGTGGGGTAAACTGTGGTTACCCTCCCCGTGTGGTGGGGTAAACTGTGGTTACCCTCCCTGTGTGGTGGGGTAAACTGTGGTTACCCTCTCTGTGTGGTGGGGTAAACTGTGGTTACCCTCCCTCCGCACCTGTTCCAAGACGTAGGCTACAATACCTCCCGACAGGGCCTCTCTGGATCTCCCTCTAGTGGAGGCCCTCCCGCCAGCAGTGCCGTGAGCGAGCAATTGCAGGGCTGAGCCGTCTTTACGTATGCAGTGAACTGTATTGCATATAAAATCTAAAAACATAAATGAGCATGTATATTTTTGTAAGCGTAATAATATATCAATATTCCTGGCAAATTTGAATGTTTTCTTTTTACAACGCTTGAGTGTATTTATGAAATCTTATTTAAAAAATGTGAATGTATTTGCCAATTCTCATGATGACAGGGTGTAAATGTAACCGTTGGGTTAATGACACAAGTGAGATAGCGAAAAATGCAGAAGAAACAAGGCAGACAGAACAAACTAGACGATAAAATCGATGGAATCAAATTGTGACAATGAATCAAATAGCATTGCGCGGGAGTATGTGTGAATTGTTACTTAACTATAAATTCAACACTTAGATATATTTGTAATCGCTACCACTCTACGTAGACTAGTCACTAGCGGAAGCACAACCACCTGAACCGAATAGTTTAGCGAGGATATCCTCGCTGAGACTCAACATCCTCTTTCAGATGAGTTCTGCGATTGCAATGTTTGGCCAATTCAATATTTGTTGTGGTTGGCCTCGTGTGGGAGATTATCCGGTGAAACCTCGGAGAAAACCCTGGAGAAACCCCATAGAAAACGCCAGAAAAAAACCCAGAGAAAACCCAGAGAAAATCCCAGCGAAAAATCCAGAGAAAAACCCAGAGAAAATCCCAGAGAAAATCCCAGAGAAAAACCGGAGAAAATCCCAGAGAAAAACCGGAGAAAATCCCAGAGAAAACCCGGAGAAAATCCCAGAGAAAATTTCAGAGAAAAACCGGAGAAAACCCCGGAGAAGGACCCGGAGAAAAACCCAGAGAAGATCCCAGAGAAAATCCCAGAGAAAAACCGGAGAAAATCCCAGAGAAAAACCGGAGAAAATCCCAGAGACAAACCGGAGAAAATCCCAGAGAAAATTTCAGAGAAAAACCGGAGAAAACCCCGGAGAAGGACCCGGAGAAAAACCCAGAGAAAATCCCAGAGAAAATCCCAGAGAAAAACCGGAGAAAATCCCAGAGAAAATCCCAGAGAAAAACCGGAGAAAATCCCAGAGAAAATCCCAGAGAAAAACCGGAGAAAATCCCAGAGAAAATCCCAGAGAAAAACCGGAGAAAATCCCAGAGAAAATCCCAGAGAAAATTTCTGAGAAAATCCCAGAGAAAATCCCAGAGAAAAACCCAGAGAAAATCCCAGAGAAAATTTCAGAGAAAATCCCAGAGAAAACCCCGGAGAAAGACCCAGAGAAAAACGCAGAGAAAATCCCAGAGAAAATCCCAGAGAAAAACCGGAGAAAATCCCAGAGAAAATTTCAGAGAAAATCCCAGAGAAAATCCCAGAGAAAACCCCAGAGAAAATCCCAGAGAAAATCCCAGAGAAAATTTCAGAGAAAATCCCAGAGAAAATCCCAGAGAAAATCCCAGAGAAAATCCCAGAGAAAATCCCAGAGAAAATCCCAGAGAAAATCCCAGAGAAAATCCCAGAGAAAATCCCAGAGAAAATCCCAGAGAAAATCCCAGAGAAAATCCCAGAGAAAATCCCAGAGAAAATCCCAGAAAAAATCCCAGAGAAAACCCCAGAGAAAATCCCAGAGAAAATCCCAGAGAAAACCCCAGAGAAAATCCCAGAGAAAATCCCAGAGAAAACCCCAGAGAAAATCCCAGAGAAAATCCCAGAGAAAATCCCAGAGAAAATCCCAGAGAAAATCCCAGAGAAAAACCGGAGAAAAACCCCGAGAAAATCCCAGAGAAAATCCCCGAGAAAATCCCAGAGAAAAACCGGAGAAAATCCCAGAGAAAACCCGGAGAAAATCCCAGAGAAAATTTCAGAGAAAAACCGGAGAAAACCCCGGAGAAGGACCCGGAGAAAAACCCAGAAAAAATCCCAGAGAAAATCCCAGAGAAAAACCGGAGTAAATCCCAGAGAAAATCCCAGAGAAAAACCGGAGAAAATCCCAGAGAAAATCCCAGAGAAAATTTCTGAGAAAATCCCAGAGAAAATCCCAGAGAAAAACCCAGAGAAAATCCCAGAGAAAATTTCAGAGAAAATCCCAGAGAAAACCCCGGAGAAAGACCCAGAGAAAAACGCAGAGAAAATCCCAGAGAAAATCCCAGAGAAAAACGGGAGAAAATCCCAGAGAAAATTTCAGAGAAAATCCCAGAGAAAATCCCAGAGAAAAACCCAAAGAAAATCCCAGAGAAAATCCCAGAGAAAATTTCAGAGAAAATCCCAGAGAAAATCCCAGAGAAAAACCGGAGAAAATCCCATATAAAAACCCAGAGAAAATCCCAGAGAAAATCCCAGAGAAAATCCCAGAGAAAATCCCAGAGAAAATTTCAGAGAAAATCCCAGAGAAAATCCCAGAGAAAAACCGGAGAAAATCCCATGTAAAACCCCAGAGAAAATCCCAGAGAAAATCCCAGAGAAAATTTCAGAGAAAATCCCAGAGAAAATCCCAGAGAAAAACCGGAGAAAATCCCATGTAAAACCCCAGAGAAAATCCCAGAGAAAATCCCAGAGAAAATCCCAGAGAAAATCCCAGAGAAAATCCCAGAGAAAATCACAGAGAAAATCCCAGAGAAATCCCAGAAAAAATCCCAGAGAAAACCCCAGAGAAAATCCCAGAGAAAATCCCAGAGAAAACCCCAGAGAAAATCCCAGAGAAAATCCCAGAGAAAACCCCAGAGAAAATCCCAGAGAAAATTTCTGAGAAAATCCCAGAGAAAATCCCAGAGAAAATCCCAGAGAAAATCCCAGAGAAAATCCCAGAGAAAATCCCAGAGAAAAACCGGAGAAAAACCCCGAGAAAATCCCAGAGAAAATCCCCGAGAAAATCCCAGAGAAAAACCGGAGAAAATCCCAGAGAAAACCCGGAGAAAATCCCAGAGAAAATTTCAGAGAAAAACCGGAGAAAACCCCGGAGAAGGACCCGGAGAAAAACCCAGAAAAAATCCCAGAGAAAATCCCAGAGAAAAACCGGAGTAAATCCCAGAGAAAATCCCAGAGAAAAACCGGAGAAAATCCCAGAGAAAATCCCAGAGAAAATTTCTGAGAAAATCCCAGAGAAAATCCCAGAGAAAAACCCAGAGAAAATCCCAGAGAAAATTTCAGAGAAAATCCCAGAGAAAACCCCGGAGAAAGACCCAGAGAAAAACGCAGAGAAAATCCCAGAGAAAATCCCAGAGAAAAACGGGAGAAAATCCCAGAGAAAATTTCAGAGAAAATCCCAGAGAAAATCCCAGAGAAAAACCCAAAGAAAATCCCAGAGAAAATCCCAGAGAAAATTTCAGAGAAAATCCCAGAGAAAATCCCAGAGAAAAACCGGAGAAAATCCCATATAAAAACCCAGAGAAAATCCCAGAGAAAATCCCAGAGAAAATCCCAGAGAAAATCCCAGAGAAAATTTCAGAGAAAATCCCAGAGAAAATCCCAGAGAAAAACCGGAGAAAATCCCATGTAAAACCCCAGAGAAAATCCCAGAGAAAATCCCAGAGAAAATTTCAGAGAAAATCCCAGAGAAAATCCCAGAGAAAAACCGGAGAAAATCCCATGTAAAACCCCAGAGAAAATCCCAGAGAAAATCCCAGAGAAAATCCCAGAGAAAATCCCAGAGAAAATCCCAGAGAAAATCACAGAGAAAATCCCAGAGAAAATCCCAGAAAAAATCCCAGAGAAAACCCCAGAGAAAATCCCAGAGAAAATCCCAGAGAAAACCCCAGAGAAAATCCCAGAGAAAATCCCAGAGAAAACCCCAGAGAAAATCCCAGAGAAAATTTCTGAGAAAATCCCAGAGAAAATCCCAGAGAAAATCCCAGAGAAAATCCCAGAGAAAATCCCAGAGAAAATCCCAGAGAAAAACCGGAGAAAAACCCTGAGAAAATCCCAGAGAAAATCCCAGAGAAAATCCCCGAGAAAATCCCAGAGAAAAACCGGAGAAAAACCCCCACGCATGAATGGTGGGCAGTGACACGGCCCAGCGGTAGCGAGTTCACTCGTTTCAGAGCATCATGGTTCAAATCCAGCAGCAACCCTGGTCACTACTGCGGGTGAAATAACTACAATGATACCACGCGCCGTCTGCGTCACAGTGGAGGTAAAGATCGCGTGGCGTCATTCGCAAGAGCAGACCATTGTTTGTCGGCGTCAGGGTCCAAATTTGCCATAGTTGAAAATTACGCCGCAAATAACTCAGTTGGGATTACACACATCGCGGTAATCATCAACCTTCCCCACCCCCCCCCCCCCCCCCCAACTGCCAGGCTGATACGCCGGCTTACTCTTGCAAATGAGACCCATCGTGGTCTCTTTAGTTCTCACCTTGGTTAAACACAATACAACCTTTGAAATTGAATTTTGGCCACTCGTTCCAGCCAATGGCCCAAATCTTTTGTGGATCTGCCGAATCCACTGCTGTGCTGCAATCTTTTGACACGAAGCAGATCTTGCCGCCCCACGCCTAGAGCACGTGTTAAGCTCCTATAGAACGTGTTACGCTCCGGGAGGTCACCCACGCTCAACCCTGCTCAACTATCGAAAGTCGGTCAAGATCGTACGATTTCAGGATGATTTGGCTGGAAGTCGTAGTGAATAAACTCAGTCAATCGTTGTATTAATCGGAGAGATGTGGATCGATAGTGTTTTCTAATATACATTTACTGATTTAGATTATCTAAAGGTGTGGCATTGATACGTGTGGCAAATTCACTGGTGACTTTGGCGTGCATCGAGGCAAGTGTGTGATTCATGTTGTAAACCCCTGTCACCTGACACGGACGCAGAGACAAAGAGATGAATGGTCGTGTGAAGTGACGATCACCACTGCACGGCCGACTTCAAACGTGCTCCAACTGATGTGAGTAACCAGAATAATCATATATTTATTCATGTGTATAGTAGCATCGCTGACATGACTGCATCACACAACGCTGCGCAATCCGGTGGATTGAATCTATCCGTGCGGAACGCTTGAATGACTCCTGCTTGTATGAATATCGGTAATAATACTTTGTTTTATACAGCATCGTTTCTGCAAATTACATCTAAAAAAAAGTTGCAAAAACATTTTGACGCGCTCCACAAATATTGTCAAAATTCCCCCGAAAAATGTTCATTGTAAATAAACCAAGTACGAGAACAGCAGATGAACAAAACCCGACCAGGCCATTGGCCCCGTGTATGTATGTAGAACTTCCTTCGCACCGTACATCGCAAGCCGTGCTAATCGGAGGTGCGGTGGAAGGACGGCAAACGAAACACAAAAAGCAGTTCTTCGGGGAAATTAGTTTTCAATCCAGATGATTCAAACTGCATCGTTCGAGTGGCTTCCTAATTGAGCAACCATGTGTATACTATCGCGTGCTTATCCAAGGAAGCCGTGCTGAGTCGTAGGACTCTTTTTGCACGAAGGGTCCTGCCGCTACAGTAGGCTTTCATTTGCAGATGGGGTTTTTTTTTCAGCCAATGAATGACGCATTGTTTATACACGTGGGAGGAAACCAGAGCACCACGAGGAAAGTCACGCGTGCGAGGGGGAAACACTCTATCCCCGTACAGATGGAAACAGATAACGATTAGTCCATTCGCAGTACTGCCTTCTCCTGACGAGCTGGGTATGGCACTAAATTAACTAAACAAAGTTGTACAGTATATACATTTGTGACGACAGCACGGAGCTCTGTTTTATATATTTCTAAAGTGCCCGTGTGTTCCAGATGTTCCCAAGCGAACCATCGCCTCCAAGATGTCTACCAGCTTCTACGACACATCGACCCTAACATCATCCTCGACATCCCTCCCCGACGTCGACCCCACGACCAACGCCTCCGTCAGCAACGCGACTTGGCCGGCTCACGTCGCGCGCGAGTGCCTGGGCTTCAGCGCGACCGCCTGGTACCTCTACCTGGGACTCCTCTTCCCCGTGGGTCTCCTAGGCAACTCATTGGTCCTCTACACCTACTGGCGCACGCGAGTCAAGCGCCAGCTCCAGGAGTCGTTGGACGCCCTGCTGATGGCCCTGGCCGCCGCCGACCTCGTGTCGGTCGCAGTTTCCCCGTCGTGGGTCTCCTCCGCACTCCACGCGGATGCGGCGCCTCGCAGCGGGCCGGGCTGCCTGGTGACGGCGACGTTGTTCAACGCGGCTCACTACGCGAGCGCCTACTTGCTGCTGCTCGTCGTGTGCCAGTGTTCCTTCGAGGTCCTGGGACCTCCGCACGGCTCCTTCGCCCGGCGCCTGCGGGCGAATCCCCTGGCGGCCGCGCTGTTCGCGACCTTGTTGAGCGTGGCGCTGTCAATCTTCACGACGTTGATCGCGAACGCCGGCGGTCGCGGCCACGGCAGCAGTGGCGTTGGTGGCGGTGACGACGGCCGCGCCGAGGAATGCCTCTCGTGCCGGCCCGACCCACGCCACGGCCCCCACGGAGGAGACCTCTTCAAGTTCTTCCTCGGCTTGGTCGCGCCCGCTTGCGCGATGTCGCCGTTTGCGGCGCGCGCCCTGCGCGAGGTCCTCCTGGAGGGGTCTCCGCCGCCACGGCAGGGAGGGGAGGCCGCGAGACGCAGAGCCGAGAGGAGGCGGCCGTACCGAGCTCCGTTCGGCATCGCCGTCGCGTGGGCAGCGACCAGACTCCTGTACGGCGCGTCGCTCCTGCTGCGCGCCGCCGTGCCGCGTCTCGACCAGACCGGCGCGGCCTTCTCCGACTTCGCCCTCCTCGCCATCCTCTGCTGCGGCTGCGCTTCGCCGCTGATGAGCGCCGCGCTGCGCGAGTGTTACCGGGAGAGCGTGCTGGTGTTCGCGAGGTGGGCGACGGGCCCCTGCCGGGGCATCTCCACGAGCCAGGCGCACAACAAGGTGATGCAGCCCATCGTGGAGGTGGCCGAGGCGAGGGGCGACAGCTGCTCACTGCACTCGACCATCGGGGCCATCGAGTCGAGCGCCACCCCGAGGATGGACTTTGCCCGCGCTGCGATCCGATGGGACGCCTATCCGTCCGTCGAGGTTCGGGTTGGAGGGGATGATCATTCGCAGCCGCGGACGCCCGCGTTTGGGCATCGAACGCTCACCGTGTGACTCTGGTGTCGCGAGGGATCACGTCGAGGCGCTGTGGCCCCACGAGTGATGTTGCTACGGCGAAAGCTGCGGTCATGATCGGCACCTAGAATCAAAATCCCCATCGTCATCATCGTGGTCATCGTTATGAAGAATCTCTAAAGCGTCGTAATCGTTGTCGCAGTCATCTTCACCGCTCGCAGCAGCAGCAGCAGTGTCACCGTTGATCACAACCACACCCGCTGCCATCCTTGTGTGGTTAAATAGTCATAATTCATCATCAATCATCCCATCAATCACCGCTATCAACACCGAAATGGAAATCATCATCATTATCCATCCTGGCTATATATAAATCAAGACAGCCGCAATCATCATCACAACGAAACATCATCAAAATCGCCATTAATCAAGAGAACAACACTCATCCACAACCACCACCACTATCAACATCATCATCATAATCGCGTTGTATTCCCACCAAAAACTCCCGTAACTCACTTGAACCTTCGTATACTGTCAGGTTGTTCAGTTAGATTGGAACACGCAATACTGTGGTTGTGCGTGAGTATGCGGATTTCGACTGAACGTTGTCTTCATAACAGCTCGTGTTTGATCAGCAATACTGTATGTTGAACAAAAAAATGTAACCTCAATTAACACTAGTCTGCATTGTGTAGACTGATCGGTGCTGTTTCATGCATAACTGAAGATACAACTTCCTGTGAGCGATTCGCGCGCGATCTGCTTTTGCCAGTGGTTCTCAACTGATCTGGTTTGGATGCCTCCCCGGATCACGTTGTGTGAGCAAGGCCTGTGTCCCATGTTGTGTATCGATGTGCTTTGTCGCCGTAACGCGAGCACCTGACGTTCCCCGTAACACGTTTTAAACTACTCCTGCACGGTCTCCATGCTGCAGCCTGCGCCTTCGTGAAAGGCTGTGGGGGGTTGAGAATCGCTGCGCCCGGCTACGACTGTAAAAAAAACTAACAACAGCGCATCAAACCCTCGTACACGGCGCCACTCGTGGCCGCTACAGTGAAACGATGCCCTTTTTTGGAGGGGGTAAGAACGGTAAGCTAATCAAACGAAAACAACAAAATAAAGTTTGACTTGAATCGTCTGAGCGACGTATCCTCATTTATTAAGGAAACTCATCGACGCATGAGGCGCCGTTACACCCGCTCATCCGCTGCATTGCGGATGAGAGGGTGGAGCGGATATCGGCAGCTACATTCTAGCAATCCCACGCCGAGACGGGACAAGGAATAACCCCGTGTAGCCTGGACGCACTGTCGGGGAAAAGCGCTGTTCGCGAGCGCCTATTCGTACGAGTGTATTGTGTTCACTCGTGTGTATTAGTGTCTGTGTGTGTGTGCGTTTGTGATCAAGTACTGGACATCTGTGGAAAAAAGAGCTTCATAGCTCATCGGATCCCTCCACTAAAAATCCATAATCTGATTCTGTGGGCAGCGGTGGCTACGAAGCCGGCGGTGCTGCGCCATCCCCAAGGACGACTCAGCCTTAACTAAGTTCCTTGCGCCGTGTGTGTCAATCTCAGCACCGGGAAGACAAAGACGGACGTGGTTCTGGTCACACCACCCCCACTTTCTCGTGCCCTTGTTGTCGGCGTACATAGGTGCTCGCTTACAGCACTTAGGCCAACAGTCCATTGAAACTATTTCGGGGGATCTCTGAGAATGTTAAAGCTGTATATCCACAACGACCACAGTGACGCACTCCGCCTGGACAGACAGGATCTCTGTGTGCCACTAATTTCTCTAAATTTGCTTTCGTGGTTTTGAGTCGACACACACACGCAGGTCTATACACACGACTACAAATATAAAGATCACCCGTATAGCCTTCGCAGACATTTGTGGCGAGTGCTGTTAGCGAGCAACTATGAAGGCCGGTTCGGCACACGAGGGGGTGGATGGCCAGCACCACGCCCGGCCGCCTTTGTCTCCCGAGTGACGATAATTTTAGACACCGCATCGGGTCCTCATTTGAAGCAGAGTCGACTCAGGCGAGGCCCAGGACCGGTTCAGATAATCGTCACCGGTGTTGGCCGTGAGCGGGAATCAAACTCGGGCCGCCGAGTTCGTAGCGTAGCGCACTAACCACTACACTACCGCTCCCTACACACACACACCTAACGGTTATAAGATGCACCCATAACTTTCGCTTTAAAATACAAATTGAGAAAGGGGCGTCATGATCGTATAGGAGCGTGCTCACCGCTCCACCCATACACTCACACAGACAGACAGCCATACAAACCAGATAACAGATTCACATTTTCTCGAAACAGCAGGATCACATCGTCTCGTCTCTATAATTTCCCCCCCCCCCCTGCCCCCCCGCCCCCGGACAGCAAATTGTGGCTATCAGTGCGTTTTCGCACAAATCGCACTGGGTCGGAGCTGGCCACGATGACTGCGGATTGGAGGAGGACTCTGAGATGGCTGCTCGTTGATTCTCGTGCGCCGGGAATGAGTCTCTCTGTTCGTCGCGTGGGTCATGCCCGCGTCACGCTCAACATCTGTCAGATCCGACGCCAGGTTCTGTCAGCGAGGACGTTGATTTGACACGAGCCCTGGGTGGACGCAGGGATTACCCGGGGCTGTATGACCAGTCAATCCCGCTCCGGTTTTGCGGCCGCAAGAGCTGCCAAAACTCGAAGCGCATCGCCCTGGGGTGGAGGGGTGAGCTCATTAGTCAAGAGACACCACAAGCCGGCGCCGCTGACATCCCATGTTCGACGTCCTCTGTTGAACTGGCATCCTATGTTCCAAGGCCGTAATTATAATATATATATATATTGGGAGGACACATCCCCCCCAATATTCAAATATGCTCAAAATGTTCCCCCCCAATATATTGCTTTAAAAATAATTGCTATGCTATGTAAATAAATTAAACAATTTTCTTAACCTTGGCCACAATATCTGGACTTGTCTTCCTATAAATCAATGCGTAGATTTCTGTTCATATGATTGTGGTTATGGTTGTACTTTATTCATCCCTAATCTCTGCCATTACATACAATGAAACAAGAAATGGCAAAAAAGTAATAACAGAGCAATGTAATACAATACACTATAGGACATTATTGCAAAAAAATAATACAAAGTCCATCCCATGTGCTAGTGAAATTTTTTATATTTTAGGCAGGAAATCAGTTTTCAAATTTAGATATTTTTCTGGGTTGGGACCCCCAGACACCCTGGAAGATTTGGTCCCCCCCAATGTTGACTTCATGGCTACGGCCATACAATGTTTGACATCCTATGTTGAACTGGCAACCTCTGTTCGACCGCTGAGTATGTTTTAAGCGGTTTCGCTGCTCGGCTTTCCCGTGTGTGTTTTTGGGCTGTACTGTGCGCACTGTCCGGCACGGTGTGCTGCGAGCTTCTCCAAGGAATGAATTTCAGCTGGAAACGAAACGTCGGACAACTCAGTTCCCGACAAAAGCCCCCAGAAAGAAACGTATCGCGCAAACTCTGGTAATCCGACGGAATTTGTCTAGCAAGCCAGACCCTGCTGATGGGACCCAGGATGTCATAACGGGTCCAGAGTTTGCTTGCTAAAGCATGTGCTGCTTGACAATGCAGTTACTGGTCTGGGAAGCCAATAGGCAGATGGATACAAATAAACAGCATAGCAAAAAACTGCAACAAAATACATTTTGATGCGGAGACACAGAACGGAAGTTGGACTTGTATTTTCCAGGTCAACTGTTGTGATGTTATCCATCTTCTGCGAGGGTTCCATATCGAACTGGCTTCGTCTCTTTCATGATGACATGACGCCGAGAGTACAACTGGATCATCATCGTCAACATCATTCACGACTCGATATCGCGCCCGAACACAGCGACAAAGCAAGTCCCGAAGCGCCCACGGGAGTCAGAGACTGAACAGAGCCCTCCCTTGCTCACAGGTACAGGCACATTTGTAACATAGGATCACAAGAAGGTTCCCATGACAACCAATGTAATTGTACACAACATGTAATTGGGGCAACATAATTGGGCGAAAGAGCAAAGGGATAGGGAGCCGCTACTGGCCCACATTGATACCCATGGGGGGAGCCTCGCGTTGGGTCAGAACATTCCAAGTGATTATCTCTGCGAAACGGAAAAGCGGGCTGTCTGTTCGACACGCGCAAAAAAGTAGGCCATTGTGTGTCGGCGTGAATGCAGTAATGTGTCACGCATACGGCTCCCTTTGTCAGGATGAGGGCCTCCCAACTCCGTGCCGGTTGTGGGGGCGGGGGGTGTTATTTTACCATACTTCACCACGCTGGTCAATGCGGGATGGTGGAGGCAGCGAGCATGGCTGAGGGAGTATTGGAGTACTACTCTTTGGTTTATTCGGTAAAGTAACGTAGGTAAAAAAATAAAATAAATGAAAACAACTAAATTAAATCACGACGTTTCGGAGGCAACACAACCTTCCGTTACAGCCAAAACCACTGTGGTAAACTAACGGTTCCACCTGAAGACGGAAGCTTGTGTTGCCTCCGAAACGTCGTGATTTAATTTAGTTGTTTTCATTTATTTAATTTTTTTACCTACGTGACTTTTCCGAAAAAACCAAAGAGTATGAATCCTTGCAGTCACGAAAGCTTCAAATCTAGAATTATTGGAGTACTGTACAACTATGTGCATTGTGCTGCCACTGCCCTCTGCTGCCTACCACGTAAACCTGCAAGCCACGTGACTCGTACCTGTCAACCACTCATCAGTTGGCGAGCTTATCTCAGAACCAATTCAGACCTTTTTGGTCACCCCGTGCAATTATAAATTTCAACTTTCACCTTACAAAGTCCTATCACAAAAGGGAGAAACACAAACAAATAGACACAAACATGTTTGCACGACAACTCAATTTCCCTGTACAAGAATACGAGACACACCGTATGGGTTGACAGATGTGACTTGCTTGCACTATCCAGGCTCGCACTGCTTAGCATTGACGGTGAATTGACCACTAATCGGGGGGGGGAGCGGCGGCGCTGTGGTTGGCGCATTGCGCTATAATCCGACGGCTAACGTGGATTAGTGATTGACATGTGAACCAGTCCTGAGTACCCCACATTCATTAACCTCCACTCAGCAGCGTGGTGAAGTATGGTCAAACTACCCCTTGACTATTCTTGGTTTTTTTCGGTAAAGTCTCGTAAGTAAAAATTTAAAATTTAAATTAATAAAAGTAAAATAAAAATAAAATAATTTTAAATTTTTACCTAAGTGACTATCGAAAAAACCCAAGAATATGAATCCTTGCAGTCACGAAAGCTTCAAATCTAGATTTAATACCCCTTGACTGACACGCCATGGAAGATGCCTTCGTCTAGCAGAGGATTGACGAAGGTCTGCCACGCTACTTTGAGCAACTATTGTCCATCACTTTATTTTCCGTGACTAACACCGCCCGCGGATTACCGCGAAATATTCGGCCGTGGTGGAGGGTTGGGTGTGAGTGGATGGGGGGGGGGGGCTACGTCATTACGCACAGGCCCGACTCAACGTTGCCGGATGCAGGTGACGTCACCACGCACATGTGCGCGGAGACGTCACCAACGCGCACTTGCACGTTCGCGCGCCAGCCAGGAAGCCAGCCAGCCAGCCAAACTTTTTTTTCGAACACAGTATAATTACTGTGCCCCAGCTCCGCCGCGTGTTTCTGTGTCATTACCTGGCCGGGAGGAAAACAAAAAAAGATTGCGCAGATGCCTCGTGACGTCGTTTGGTCTCAAGCGCCTGATGTCCTCCAATATCAAATTAAGTGCGTCTGGTAAATTACGAAGGGCAATTGGAAACGCAGACACACACACACGGCAAAGACACCCCGTAAAACCATGCATATCAGGTTGACACAGTACAAAGTAACAAAGATCCCCCCCTCCGTATATTCAAACATAGTGTTAAATCACACACGCACATACAGCAAAAGACATAGATCCCCCCGTAAAGTCCTACAGGTTGCTGGGACAAGTGCTAAAGGGGTTGTGGTGCTGCGCCTTATTAAGGCGACGAGGGGGGGAGGTGTGGCCAGCACCACGCGCGACCGGCGTCGTCTGCCCACTGGTGGTGGTCACGCATCGCGCC